GTACTCCAGCCGAGCAGAACAACAATTCCCGGGCCCCACCTCGATACAATCTTGGATAAGCAAGAACTACCCATGCACACTGTGAACCTGCAATGCGCCCCGCTATGGCCGGTACCCGAGCGTAATGCCAATCCCCGCTTCGCCTCTCGCTTCTTGACACGATTTCGTGACAGCAAAGAACTACCCATGCACACTGCGAACCTGGCAACAACGGCCTCTTCCTAGCCAGGCCATGGCCGGTACTCCAACCGAGCAGAATAGCAATCCACCCCCTGCCCCACCCTGACACGATCCCGGACAAGTAGCAACCGCCCATAGACACCGCGAGCCCTGGCAATAGTGGCTTTTTCCCGGCCAAGCCGCGGCCAGTACTCCAGCAGAGCAAAGCAACAATTTTCGGCCCACCCCGACATGATCTCGGAGAATCAATAACCGCCCATGCACACCATGAGCTCAGCAACACTGGCTTTTTCCCGGCCAAGCCGCGGCCGGTATTGCAGCCAAGCAGAACAGCAACCCCCCGCCCCACACCGCCATCACCACTCACCTGAGGGTACTGACGCCATGGGGGCAATTGGCGGCAGGCGGCCCTGACGCAACATTTCACATACCCCAGGGGCATCACATCACATGCTAGCCAATCGAATGTACTAGGCTTGGGAACGCTTTGGGCGTACATTCTGCCTGCATGACAGACAACAACGATTTGAAGGGGCACATGGATGTGCCACGGGGGCGAGCAATGTGCACTGCCGAATCTATCAAAGACCCATGCAATCGCACCCCACGTCCGCCATGCATATGGAATTTTTGTACTGGGGTTCAACGTGTTTGAAAGCACCTTTCAACACAGACCTGGTCTGTGTTACTCCGTGAATGTTGATGCAATTTTGTCGACCTTTGTGGTCCAATCAGCGGTTCCATTATGGGGGGTCTGTCATCTGTGGGTTGTGGCGCAGATTCTGTAACATGTGGTTCCATTCTGGAAGGTTGTGTGGATTTTAGTAGCCATCTATGCTGACATCAGCATGGCCCCGCCCGTTTCTGTTAGACACTTTTTCTCTCTGTGGCCCGCTCACGGATTCCGTTGACTGTACGGAATTTTAACGGAGCCAGCCAAATTCTGTTGTGGATGGACAAAGGGGGCCACCTCTAGTCCCATAGCTTCCCAGTATAGAGGGAACTATGGAATGCACGGGTAGAGGCAGATAATCATATTGCATAAAGTTGCAATGAGTTGTACACCAAGTGCTTGTGCCATTTTTCTTTCCGACATCTCATTTTTCCAAATACAACCACTATTCTCAATTATAGCTGACCGATGGTCCCAACTTGCATCCAATAAACACCAAACCACTGGAAATGAAGGAGTCCCATTTCACTCAAGCAACCCTCCATAATCCCGACATGTTACTGCCATAATCCAAGCACTACTCATTAGGTCAGCGTGACGGGAACTTTATAGCACATTCCTCGCTTCTTGTCAGCCCCCCAAAACGACCTAAAATATAGACTTACACATGCTAAGTCAATTTTTTGGTTTTGTCCAAGCGTCCATGGCAACAACCTTTTGAAAACATGGGGTCCAACAACCACTCAACATCTGCTTGCCTAATCTCAATGCACTAGTCATGATAGCAGTGTATATTTTAATGCAATTGATTATACATCATGGCTATATTGACGGCCTGACGGCAGCCACCGACACAACACTGTTCTGGCCCACAACTTTCTTATTTTTTGTCCAAACTAGTCCCCGTTTGTTCCATTAAACTCCTATTAGTTAGCTGCATATCCTGACAGAATTTTGGCAACTTGACGTCCATATTCCCGGCCAGTTTTTTCTCCAAAGTATGGCCTGACTGTCTGCCATTTCTGCAGCAAAACATGTTGTATTCTGGCCAAATTATGGCAGCGTTTCCCCCAATTTTCGGGTTTTCACAAATCTGACGGTACCATAACTGCCCAATTTCATAGGTTGAGTGATGCCAATCACATTTCTGTCTCCATATCCTTCTTGTCAATCGATTTGGACAGTGTTTTGGGCTGCAACTGCCCATTACTACCTTTAGAAACATGTCTTTCATTCTATTTTTCTCATGACGTCTTCTACATGCCTTGCCGCTATCTTAGATCGAGGCAGGTCTATCAGCGTGCTTTTCTCGCCTTTCTAGCAATGCTGTACGGTTGTCCATGTCAAGGAGGACTGGTGTATGGTGTTGTGACACCCAGTTAGTCGTCACGTGCTAGTCATGGGCCAGTCATTGGGTGACATTGCTTCATGACTAACTGCAAGTTTAACACATATGATCAACTCCGCGTTTTCCATAGAAACTCAACTAGTCATAAAAAAACAAGGGTGTGATCGAAAACTCATCCTATGAAGCAAACTAGGTCAAAGAAGCCGGCACAATATCAAATGAGTTCAAGAATATTATGTTAAATATACATTTGCAATGATTTCGTAGTGGCGGTCATGTCGGGCCACCCTGTGAAAAAAGTGCTCTTGTGAATGTAGAAGAATCGCTAGCCATTGACATGTTGATCCACCAGTGAAACGGGGGGCATTGTGTGGCTACTACGCGAACACCCCCAGTGGTGCTTGACAGCACATAAACAAGTGTTTTCATTAACCTTCTGCTTGGTTGGCTGGAGCCCAGCTGGTGGTGTTCGCCAAGTCATTGGCCATTAAGAGCGGCACCAGGCATCACCTCCCCGCGCCACAACCTCCTCTCGAGGGGCCCCCACCCGGCGCCAATCGTTCAGACTCTGGCGTCCTTCGTGCGCTGCTGCTGGGGGAGGCTGGCCATGGCAATGCCGAAGGCCGCGGCGTCTGTGGCCTCGAGGCCGCTCTTGGGCGCCGCGACGCGTCCTGCCATAAAGGCGGTGGGTGCTGCACAGATCGCGTTGTGGCGCCAGCCTCACTCCCACGGTGGCCGATCTCCGCGGGCCCGCTTCCACCGGCGAGACAGCGGATCCAATCTGTGAAGGCGGTATACTCTGGCGCAAGTTGGGGACCATTGATGATTTACGATGCTCTCACGCTTGCCACGCATCATTGACAGGCGCCGCTGCACCGCCAGCTGTCGCAGACGCCCTACCTGGGGCGGTTCACGCCCCAGCACCCCAGGTCGGGATGCAGAGGTAAGCGCGCAGAGGCCTTTCCGCGTGCGACGCCCATTCGGCGGTCCAAATTCCCCGGACACCGGGATTTCCATCCCTCATCGATCGACTCCCGCCGACGGAGCATGGACTGACGCATTGGGCTTCTGCGCCCCTCAGGTGCCTGTAGGGGTGTGTTTAGGGTGGTGGGCGCCGCCGTAGCGTCGCCCCGTGCAGGGGCTGCGGTGGCCACTCCGCCGCCAAAGGAGGCGCATGGCTTTGAGCTCGTCTCCGACGAATTCGTCAAGGAGTACGACTCCCAGGTGCTGACCTATCGGCACAAGAAGACAGGTGCGTCGGAGGGCCGCTTCACCCCTCTCCCGAAAGCTTGAGAGGAAATATTGCTGAATCCATTGTCGTAGCCTGGAGACCGATATCACCTTGTGGCGCCTTGCTTGGTGCCTGGGATCCCAACGGATTCCCTCACACCACTGGACGGGCCATTGCCCACCTGGCGCTCGCTCGGCCCTGCATGTGAGCCAACACTGCTTGTTTTTCGCTGGCGAAGTGCTTCTCTGCATGCAGAGATGTCAAAGGTGTCTTCCAGTTGGGTGAAGAGCCTAAAAAGAAAAGAAATCAAAAAGCACTTGAATAGGCTGGGGATTGGCCATCATACGACCTGTTTCACGTTTCTGAAACAAATGTTGCCTACCACGCCTGTGCTCTTTGTTGTGAGCTGTGGAGTACACAGCCTGAATGGGGAGACTTTTCAGGGCAAAGTGAGTGCTGCCGTCAGCCGTGCTTTGGTGGTGGCCTGATAGCAGTACATGTTAATGCACCGCTTATTGTCGCATTGTGCATTGAGCGTGAATATCAGATTCATGGTTTCCAAGTACCTGGCCATTGTTTCAGACGAGCAAACCAAATTGTGCTGTCACTGTCCTAACCCAGGTGCTGAGGTTCTGTCATTGGTAAATGACGATGAGAACAAGACCTTCTCCGTGGTCTTCAGGACGCCTGTGACTGCCTCAACCGGGATTCCCCACATCTTGGAGCACTCTGTCTTGTGCGGCTCCAGAAAATACCCAGTCAAGGAGCCTTTTGTGGAGCTCTTGAAAGGGTCCCTTTTCACGTTCCTGAATGCCATGACTGCCCCTGATCGTACCTACTACCCGGTGGCCTCCTGTAATCTACAGGACTATTACAATTTGATGGACATCTACCTGGACGCTGTGTTCTTCCCAAGGTGCATCAAGGATCCACTTGTCTTCCAGCAGGAAGGGTGGCACCATGAGCTGGAGAAAGAGGAGGTGAGACAGCCCTTTCTGTTTGCAATAGTCAGAGTCCGGCATCCCTTGCATCTGCAAGCCATGACTGGCAGCTTGCTGTCAACATTGAGTGGTTCAGATTGTTTGTTCATTTCTTGCATTCAAAAGTGGATGCAGGGAGACATTGGGCCTGGGCTTTCCTGGTAGACCAGATGGTGCTACCTGCTCCTGACGGTACCACACTGTACCCCTGTGCTGTGCACTACTCCTCTGGTCCTGTAGATTTCTGCATCCTTTTCCACAACGTTGAAAACACTGTTACTGCATGTTGCTATTTGGCTCAATGGTTAGGGCTACATGAGGAATGATTGTTATTAAAATGAGGAGTATTTCATAGAATGGACGCCCCCCCGTTGATCAGAAAACAATGGAAGTGCTTGATTTGGTGGGTGTGCCCATTGTATAACATAACTTCCCTGTGGTGATTGCCAATCATCACAACTTGGCTGCGGCCTTCCATTTGTTCTCGTCAAAGCGATGCATCCAATAGGCAGGTAATGGCAGCGATCGTTTCTTGGAATGGTTTCTGTGTCAGTGGGGCTGCTGCTCTGGATGCTCAGCACTTGGAGACACTGCCGATCCAGTCATCACTTGCAATTCAGCACTGAGAGGAATGCTGGAGCTGAAGAGCTTGCATGACCCAGCCCTATATGTGGTCAATTACTTGTGGCATGATGCAATAAAACTGAAAATAGAGCACAGGTTTTATTTCAATCTCTGCCATTCTGTGCCAAAAATATCCTATCTGCTGTCTTTGGAATGTCCGATGGAGTTGGGATGGCTTTTGTTGACACTGCCATGTGCTTTGTGAGCAGGACCCTTTAACATACAAAGGAGTGGTGTTCAATGAGATGAAGGGTGTCTACTCATCCCCAGACCAGACCCATGGCCGCCGTGTCATGCAAGTTCTGTTCCCTGACAACAACTACCAGCATGACTCTGGCGGTGACCCCAAAGTGATACCAAACCTCACATACAAGGAATTCCAGGTATGCCAGCCTGTCAGCAAACCTTTGGACAGCTTATGTTACAAGCCAGTACACTGTGATGGTGTATAGCAGCATGCAGAAAACAGCACTTGCATGCCTTGCTGTGGAGTGCAACACTGAGCATGCACATTCCCAATTGCTCAATTTTCAGGGACTATGTGCTATCTGAACGAACATGGCTCCAATGCATGGGTTTGTGGTTTCCATGTACCATTTGTTGTTGATGTATCTGCGGAGGTTCCATTCGCTGACTTTTGCTAACAACCTGGCAAATGATGCCATTCCCCTTCATTGAAGCACTCCAAATAACAACAGGGTTTGTCAAGTTTGCTCTTTCTATCTTTTTCTCCTATCAGTTGGCCCAAGGTGATCGTGTTTCTCAATGTGGCATACTGTCGAATGGATACAAGGATCTTACCGTGTATGGGTTGCTGGTTGATGTGTTGTGCAGCATTGATCCATTCTCATGTCTTTTCAGGACTTCCATGCCGCCTACTATCATCCCAGCAACTCCAGAATCTGGTTCTCTGGCGATGATCCTCCCGTCGAACGCCTCAGGATTCTGGACGAATACCTTAGAAAGTTTGAGAGGAGGGAGGTGGACTCCTCTGTCACGCCACAGGCCCTGATGACAGCACCCAAGCGGATTGTTGAAAGATTTGCAGCTGGAGAGAAAGACCAAAAGGTGCGAATAATGCAAGTCCGACCACTAGACATTGTCTTGGGCCTCGACTTTCATCATTGGCCTTGACTGAGTGCTGCGCCTCTGCCCTTCTGTTTTGAGTTCAATGCACAGCCAATCAAATGCAACAAATCGGCACTGGGTGGGCCCTCCCTCCAAAGCTTAAAAAAAACGCAAGAGTAAATGCTGGAAGCAAGCAATAGTACAGATCTGTTGCAGTTGATAAAATGTATGCAAAACTCGAATTGGGAGGGCGTTCCTGATATGCAGACACTAGATCGGTACCGAGACTGGTACCTAAGCCCTAAAACAATAAAAGCACTTGAACGCCTAGCACCTAAAATATGCCTAAACAACTAAAACACCTGAAAAGCACCTAAAAACCCCTAAACGGAAAACGTAAAAACACCGAAACCCTTAAAACCCAACCCAACCAACCTAAACCCTAACGACCTGTTCTTGTAGCAGTCTGCATCCCTGTACCTGTAACAGGACTTGTCCTGGTCCTGGTACCAGTCTCAATACTGGTCCAATGTCTATGTATCAGGAACGTTGCACAAATTGGTATGTTATTCCTTTGTTGACAAGATTGCATGTGCCCTTTTTTTGCTATGAAGGTGCAATTGCAGTGATTTGTCCCTTTATGTCAAACCTATTCATTGGCAGGGCACACAGCCACACAGCAGAGCATACATGTTGCCCTGAAGTCAAAACTGCCATCTGAAGTAGTTTCCAATTCTACAATAAAGCACTGCAGAATGAAAACGTCAGATGGAAGACAAGGGAGAATATTGGCCTTTGGTACTCAAGTGGAAGACATCTGCCAAAAATGGAAACAACAACAGGCTTTAAACTGCCAAGCAGTATACTACTTGTCCGTTGTTACGCACATCCCACAATTATTGACCCTTCAATGATTTCTTATTTTCAACAGGACGTTAGTGTTGGGCTGCTGCTTGGGATTTTATTCTTGTGACCCCTTTTGAGCCACGAACCTGTGCCACAGGCGTTCGTGTCGGTCAACTGGGTGCTGTCGGACTCGCTCTTTGACACGGAGACACAGATCGCATTCAGAGTGCTGGACTATCTCATGCTTGGCACTCCTGCAGCCCCATTGTACAAAGCGCTCATGGATAGCGGTCTTGGGGAGGCACTCATTGGGCATGGGCTGGACACCGACATGAAGCAGCCATTCTTCTCTGTGGGGCTGAAGGGAGTTGCCACAACAGATGGAGACAAGGCAAGTCTTGAGACATGTGACAAATTTTGAACCTGAGGATGGAAACTTGAAAAGTGAAAAATGCTGGAAGATCTTATGATGCCATGGAAGAGAGCCAGTTCCCCCTGGGGCTGGGCATCCTTGCTGCATTATGATGCTTCACAATTAGTGGGTGCTCACGCTCTTTTTAATGCTGTTGTTATGATGAGCACTTGAAACGTGTGTTGTTGAGCAAGTGCTGTGGATGCTCAGCGCAAACAGCTCTGTGCACCCATCCTGCAGTAAGGAAGTCTCCCTCTTGCCATCTGCTTGAACATCTGAACTGCCAGAATTGTCCACCCGAAAACACCTGTGGGCAGAATTCTGGGGTGGGTGCTAAGGGAATAATGTGGAGCTGCACAGGGAATGGTTCATCGTGCCACATAGCGATTTACTGCTGGCAGTGGCTGCCTCATGTTTTGATGTTGGGTGAGCAGCCTCAGCTCACATGGCATGGTTATTGACTGCTGACAGCAACAAGCACCATTGTTGACATGATTTGACCTTTAGTATGACATTGGGCCAGGTGGAGAAAGTGGTTAACGATGAGCTTCTGAGGCTCTCCAAGGAGGGCTTCTCTGACTCGGCAGTTCAAGCTGCTCTGAACACCATCGAGTTTTCACTTAGGGAGAACAACACTGGCAATTTTCCAAGGGGTCTGGCGCTGATGTTTGCAGCGGTCAATGCATGGATCTACGAGAAGAAACCCACTGAAAACATAAAGGTGGGGTGCACCAGGAGACAGATACATGGCATTGCCCTTGTGCTGTGTCCATTGCCTGCTGTGGTGGCATTAGCGTTGGTATCTTTGTAAGCCATTTTGATATTAGAATGTTGTAGGCAGCAATTCAATCTACCAAAGCAGATTTGTGCACAAAATACTGGATGCTATGCCATCGACTGCCTGTTGGATTCGTTTCCACTTCGAGTCTAAAGAATTTCTCTATATCCATGTGTTCTATTTGTTGAGAAGAAGCAAATGCGGCCCTTGTATTTAGAAGACATTGATTGGCTTTGTTTGAAGCAGCTGGCTCGGGTTTGAAGAATTGGTTGCATTGTTGTTTGGCAGTGGCAAGAAGATCTTGCAGCATTCAAGAAGCGGTTGGCAACTGGGGAGAATGTGTTTGGGCCTCTGATCACCAAATACCTACTAGAGAACCCCCATAAAGTGACACTGGAGATGCAGCCAGATCCTCAACTTGCAGGCGAAACGGCGGAACAAGAATTGGAGCGACTCAAGAAAGAGCGGCAGGCCATGAGCAAGGAAGAGGTGGGAATGCACTGACCAAAGGACACTGTTGTATTGGATTGTTTAAAGCTACTGGGCGGTGCTGGTGACAGGTGCGATGTGGGAGTTGGCAATGTGCTTGGTAGAAGGGAGCTGTCATTGTTGCCATAGTTATTCTGTCCAGAATTAGAGAACCGCTTTTCCCTGGAAAGCTGTAAATGTGTGAAATGTTTCATCTGTTCCAAAGAACTGTCACATCTGTGTGCATTGTCAATCTTTTACAAACAAATGCTATGACCTGTTGGTGGAACTTTGTGCAAAATTGTAATGTGCATTGAGTAGATGCAGGAAGATAGTTTTTTCAGTTAACCAGAATTTTGTGATACGTTGAGTCATCTTGGCTTAAGACCACGAAAAGTCAGCTTCCTGGGCTACCCATTACTCCTGGCAAAATGCAATGAGCCCTCTTTGTATAGGCGCGTGCTGGGGGTGCCTTGAAGAACTTGTGATGCCACAGTTTTATGAGGTTAGTGCACTCATCTAGAAGAGACATATAGACTCACCATTTCCAGGGGCTGAAGAAGGCTCCCAAAGCCCTTTAACACGATTTGGACAATGATGGGTTGCCTGGCGATACTTATATGTGTATGGTTTAAGGGAGAAAGTGGACGAATGCTCATGCTCCTGTGCTCTGATCCTGTTACAAATGGGGTCCTGTACCTTGGAAGGCCCCACTTTGGAATGGGGCCCATTGCATTGAACCCCACAGTCCCAGAATGTTGCACCTGCCAACTGCGCTCAGGCTGTAACCCAGGGATCGACTTGCTTCCCAAAAGACAATAACCACAAATGAATTGCCAGGATGGTGGCGATTAATGGAAATGGGCAGTGGTGAGAAACAAGTACATGTGCCACTTTTGACTATTGCCCCTCACGAGCAGTGTTGACTCTTGGGCAGAGCCTGAGTTTCAACAGCAGTTTATCATTTCTGACACTGTGGGGCCCATGGCTAGGTGCCTATTCTGGAGTTGGGCCTTTGCAAATCCAGGACACTGTTCTTGACAAGTTCGATCACAGCATGAGAATATTTTGATTTCTGGCCTGGGTCATGGGGGCTCAATGCACTTGTTCTTCCCTTTTATTGAACAATTTGGAATATCTGCTGTTATTGCCGAGCTGGATGGCACAGTTATCGCGGGCTGTGCATGGCATGACAGATCTCGATGACCGTGAAGAGCACCAAAGAGTTGAAGCACCACCAGCTGATGCCAGATCCTCCAGAAGCCCTGAAATCCATTCCCACTCTGAAACTGGATGATATTCCCAAGGAAATCAAGACGATACCCACTGCTGAGCAGCAGGAGAGCAGCTCGACCATCCTGTCACATGATCTGTTTACAAATGACATCCTGTACTTGGAGACTGTTTTGGATATGAGGTACACTTGGAGGCTGGGGTGGTGGACTTTTTGCACCTGTTAAGAATGGGGATTTGAATGAACACAGCCAAGCAGTTGGTCAGCCAGTTCACTGGCCCCAAGCACCAATGCCGAAGCTGCGCGCTGGTGTGCAAAAATTTTGCGAAACCCCTGGCTGCTATGGCAGCGATTTCGGTGCGCGTTCTTGCCAACTCGGTGCCAGAGTTCAATGGAGCCCACTTGTGGTTGCCATTGCTGGCTGCTGCTTTTTGTTGCTGTGGCCGTACTTTGTACATCTGCACTGGCAAATGGTGTGATACTCATACTCATCTTTGTCGTCATTTTCAGGGGCATACCTGCACGCCTGCTGCCCCTGGTTTCCCTCTACTGCGAGTGCGTGACACAGATGGGGACAGAAGACTACAGCTTTATTGAACTGACTGAGCAGATTGATGGTAAGACAGGCGGAATCTCTGTGTACCCATTCGTCACGGACGTTCGTGGCCAGGAAGAGCCCGTTGCCAAAATCATCGTGAAGGTAAGATGCCCCATGCTGTGGTGCAGCATGCGACTCGTGCTGTGTTCTCCCAATGGTTCCCTGTCCAGTCATATCTCGCGTTTGGGTCACCACCTGTTTGGGATGAGTTTACGGACCACATTGTTTCTTGCATCCAACAGGCCAAGACCACAAAGGACAAGGTTGGCGATCTGATGGATTTGCTGCAAAACGTGTTGCTCAAAGGGAAACTGGACAACCAGCAGAGGTTCAAGCAGATGGTTCTTGAGAACAAAGCCGCATTGGAATCAGGTATGGCGGTCCTGTGTGTTTGCACCATCCACACCTGACACGTTCACGTTGTGAAGCCAGCGAGCTTTATGTGTTTCTAAACAAGGAATGCAGCCTGGATTTTGCTTGTCACAGCTTTCAACAGCTTCCAACTGTATTGGAGCAAGTCGAGATCTAAATGTGTGCTGCACTTGCTTGTATGCATACTATTGCTGTATGTTTCGGGAAAAAGTCTGGCAGTGGTAACACAAAGCAGTTGCAGCTGCGGAAGGGCAGAAAACACATCCGAATGGAACATGCAGCACCAATGCTGCCACAGCATCCATATCTTTGGGAATGATTCTGGCCTCATGGCTGACCAGTTTTGTTCGAGTTCAATTTTGACTTCGTTTGTGACATCTGCCGCAACACTGCCTTTGCATGGTTCAGGACTATCAGATGGCTATTGTGCAGTTGATTTGCTGTCAGTTGAAACACTTTTGTAGTGTGAATGTGCTGCTACGACAGTGGCTTGTATCATGCAGTATGGCACCACCACTTGCTTCCTGAGTACCATTCCCATACCAAGTTGCTATGCAAAAAGGGAAACAAATGTTTAACCGCAGTACACAGTTTGACAGGGCTGTGCCTGCTTTGCCCAGGCCTTGTTGACAGTGGCCACAGATTTGCGAGCCAGCGTCTTGCTGCCCAGAGGAGCATCGCAGGCTGGGTGTCGGAGGTCACTGGCGGCCTGTCCTACCTTGAATACGTGAGGAGCCTGGTGGACAGGGTGGACTCTGACTGGCCAGGTGTGCAAGCCGATCTGGAAGCAATCCGCTCAGCGTTGCTGACCCGCAATGGTGCCATTATCAACATGACTGCTGATGAGGACACGCTGGGGATCACGCGGCCATACATGTCAGAGTTCTTGGATGCTCTGCCATCCGACGCAAAGGACAAGGCGGACTGGTCTGTGATGTTACCACGAGTCAACGAGGCGATCGTTGTGCCCACCCAGGTGATGCCCTGCTCACAAACATGCAGCATTGGATATTCTGGAGCACTTGGCAACCTGTGTGAGAGTCTTGTAGATTGTGTTTTTTTGTTGCTTTTGGTGTTTGCTAAGCTGGCGCTTCTCTGGCGATGCATCATGAGAATTTTGATCCTTTCTTGGCCACCGTAGGTGCAGTGACGAGTGCCCAGGGCGTTTGACCCCAGCTAGAATCATTACCTGTGTATTGTCAACGCAGTTGCTCTTGTGAAGTTTCTAGGGACCTTGCTGTTTCCGGTGTCACATTCCTGTTTGCTTTTCCTCGAATCTGCTGAGGTGCAGAGAACACGTGGGAATTTTGCTTGGCAGTCAGTGTGTGTCACAGGCAACAAAGGACCATTGGGATCATGAATTAGGACCTAAGACATGTTGTGCAACGTTGTGGCCAGTCTCTTCAAACACAGTAGTGAGGTTGCTAACAAACTGCCTCCCTTGTTGGGCAGGTGAACTATGTCGCAAAGAGCATCAACCTGTACAAAGATGCTGGCTACCAGCTCGAAGGATCCTCCTTTGTAATCGAAAAGAGCCTGTCACGGTCGTACCTGTGGGACCGTGTCCGTGTGGTGGGTGGTGCATATGGCGCCGCGGGCAGTTTTGACCAACACTCTGGCAACTTCACCTTCTGGTCATACAGGGACCCCAACCTTCTGGGGACCTTAGATGTCTATGATGGCACTGTAGACTTCTTGAAGAATCTGGACCTGGACGACACTGCCCTGGCACAGGCCATCATTGGTGAGGGTGCTCGACTGAAATCTGTAGTTTTGTGGAGTAAGAAACTATTGGCTTTCATTCTTCAGTATGTGGCGTTTGTCGATGCAGGTGCACCCACTTGGAACTGTCGCTTGGCATATGGATCCAAAGTCTTTTATCCCTGCAGCTGTTATGATTGTGAAGCTGTTATGACTGTTATGAAGTGCTCCCCATGTTTGTGCTTGTGTGTGTGCGAATGCCATAATGTGAACCCCATTCTTCATGAGACTACTCAAGGATTACTACAAAACTTATGCCCATGCTTGATGCGATGTTATGCAAAGGCAGCAAATCATGACTTGCAGCAAATTTATACATATGGATTGATACATACTGTCACAGGACATGTCACAACTATTAAGTCGTGGTTTGTGTCCTAAGCCTGGCCTTTGCTTGCAGGAGCCATTGGAGACGTGGACTCCTACCAACTCCCTGATGCTAAGGGGTACACCGCACTGGTGCGGCATCTGCTGAACATCACTGATGCCGAGCGGCAGGAACGTCGGGACCAAATCCTGGGCACGCAGGTAAAGGACTTCCACAAATACGCAGAGTATCTGGAGAGTGTCAAGGGACCCGAGGCACGGGTGGTGGCGGTCACCTCCCCTGACGCCGCCAAGGAGGTGTCAGACAAGATGCCCAACTTCTGGGAGGTCAACAACGTACTTTAATCTCCTTGAGAGAGTTTTGATAGTCTTGACTTGGGAATTGGGCGCCAGGCGCATGTAGACTTTGGTGCCACCAGCTGAAACATATGAGTGACAAGAGGGGCAGCAGGATGTGGTGCGGCAAGTCGCCGATCGTGTGGCCACTTGCTTTCATGCAGTGAGCCAAATGGCTGTGCTTATGTGTCGCTTATTGCAGGGTGCGATATGGTTTGGAGAGGTTGCTTGTGCAATGGCAGCGGAACTAATGTTGTGTTGCATTCATCGGGATTGTTTAATGTGTGTATTCTTTGCCGTTGTAAACACAACGGTCAGCAAGTTTCTGGAAATCTGTAATAGGCTTGGCCAATGTGCCAATTTGATTGCCGCACCAGTTGATGTGAATCATCACGTTGTCCTGCGAAAAGCGCCTTTTCAGCAGCGGGGTGTTGCAGTGCGATTGTAGCTCAGGTTCCTAAACTGCACTCTTTTGCAACGTGTACATTGCCTCCAACCACATTTGAAAGGTCTCTGACTGTGTGTGCCCATCAGGCTGGAGAGGGTTAGCCACAAAGACAAAATGGTGCACCTCCACAATTGCGACCTGTGTGTGATCCTTTATTGTCTCTGTGCTCACGGCTGAGCAAGCCGGGCTTGAAGTGCCTGTGCTTTCTAAATAGGCATTGCAGTATGTGGGTGTACACAATGCAGGCCGCACTGTCATTTTGAAGGACATTCTCTGAATGCCAACATTGGTACAACATTTTGTTTCAGCATATTTCGGCATTGCTTTTCATCTTGTGAAAACCTTGTCGAAGTAATAGATGAGAAGGCTGAATGGCGGCACTCACTATAGATTTTCCAAGGTGGCTCAAGAAATTGATCTAAGAATGGCAGTCTGTTCCTTCGTCCGTGAATGAACATGGAGGGATCCGACAGTAGTAAGTGATAGAAGTTGTTGATGCAGGCCCTCTGGATACTTTGTACATACTCCCTTTAACAAGAGAGAGGGTGATAGAAATGCAATGATATTCCCAGCTGGTGGCTGCAGCTCAAAATGATGTTACATTTTCCAACAACACTAGTTTTTCATAGGAACCCGCTTCCTTGGACATTTGGGTTGCTCAGTTGTGTTCGTATACGACAGAGTGCGACATGATGTGGACCACCATTAGTCGTGCGACTAGCAGCATGTTCTGGATGTGTTTGTAGTATAATACTGAAATGAAGCAATGCTGCATGGATAATGTATATAGAATGGACGTGCGGATGGAGCCGATGATTCTGGCAATACGACAGAAACAGAACAACACAATAATGTATGCACTTCTGTGGTCTGAACATGCAATGACGGCAACCTCACCCCACCAAGAAAAACTGCAGTCATTTTGAGGCGTCATGAATGGCCTCTAATTCCCTTTGAAGTCTCCTATCACGTGGTAGCCATACCGCCATGAGGCAGCCAGGCGGAAGCCAGCACGCAGCTCACCGTATCCTGCACTTATACTGGGCAGGGAAAGTATCCCCGCATTCCTTGTCAGCGCCCGGATTGGCGGCCGTTGGGTTTGCCGCTCTCTTCTAGGGAGAACACGCGACGTCCGAACCCGATGCGGCCGAGAGCCCTGGTGAACAGCGGAAGCCAAGGTACCGGTACCGACCTGCGACCGGCGCGCGGAGAGGGCCTGTGTTGGCGCCGGTGGGGCTCCTGCCCATGCTCCTCGCCATTGATCAGTCTTCTGCCAATGCACGGGTGCCGGCTACGCGATCATGGACTGCCTGTCGTGTGTGAAGTAAACTCTGAATCTGAAGCCGGGCTCACAGGCGCTGTTTCCCGAGATCCAGCTTAGGTGTTGATTCGCGGAGGGAATCATCGTTCCAAGTCCGTAGGCGATTGTCTTTTTGGTCTGTGTCTGAGCCTGACAGGAAGTCTAGCGGGCCTCCTTCAACCCTCGTCGTCTTTTCATTCCCGCTTCTACCATCTCATTGGCCGCACTATTTCGGCCCTTGTGATCTGGGTGATTTGGAAAATCGATTGGTTTCTTTGTTGCAGGTGGTTGGTGCGGCGTTCAGCTGAGGGCTGGATTGAGACGCAGCCGATGCCTTGTGGTGGGTGCGTCTGCTGGTTGGTTATCTGTTCTGTTTAATGCGAAGATGTGGTTTGGTGCACAAGTGGCACTTGCACCATTTAAAGGGTGTCTTGGCAAGCAGAACGGAAGCAGGTCATACAATTAGGCGCCTTCAAAGCAAGCATTGTGACAACTTTTCATAGAATTGGGCGCTTCATCCTGAGCAGGTGCTCTGAATGATGGCTTTCTTTAGGCTTTGAGGGATGATGCAGAAGCCTCCTCAGCCCGAGTGGGGCATCGTGCACCAGGGATCATGTGCAACGTTCAACATCATGCTGTGGTTTCTGCTATCCCTTGATTTCTTTTTTTTCTGATCAAAGTGCCTAAAAGTTGAATCTGAACTGCTGAGCATTCTCTGAAAGATACAGTTCTGAAAAGGCACATGTTTGAAGGAAATCTCGTCGCAATAGAGCATTTCTGTCTGCTGGCAGTTTAGGATATGCAAATGAAAATATGTGAACAACATGAATAATGAACTGTTGTGTGTGCATGTTAACATTACACACTGTGTATCATATGTCCCATGGTAAAGAGCCTTGTTCAGATTTTGGAAGAGACAAACATTGAATGACTGATCAATTCCTCACAGAGGCCCATGAACAAACATTCTAGGACAATCATTGTGCATGAAGAAGTGGTCCTCATTGCCTTCATAAAGCATGGGCAATTGCCAACTGTTGAGGAATAAATTTTACAATGAATCGACCCCTGTTCTTCTCTTTTTCAAGGAAGCTCTCTACAATGCTGCATAACAGTATCAATATGTGTGCATAGCCCCAAAGATCAAGATGGAATACTGCACATTTTTTGTGTGCTCTATCGGAGGAATTCATTATGCCAGAAGCCCCCATCACGATTGACAAAGGGCCATGGGAGCCTGTTGATGGAGGTGTGGTGGCCCCAATCGGCTTCTCAGCAACAGGTACGAAAGCAATTGATGTATATTTTCTTTGTTTCTGGGTGCTACACCACATTCAAAGGCCCTGCCAGCCCCTTGTTGCGAAAGCTGTGTTGGCCATCTGTTAAATGAGGTCAACAGTGTCTGCTTGAAACGAGTTGAAAAGACGGTGGCTTTGTGCTTGTGTGCAGTTTTCGAGAATTAGTAGCATAGCATCCAGAATAGTGGGGACATATGCACACTGCGAACACCAGTGAAATTCCTATTTGGCAAAAATTGCATGCTGCATTTCCAGGCATTACGCAGCTGAATGGTGCACAAGAGTGTTGCCTGACATCGAACCTGTATCGAGTGCAGATTTGATAAACATGTATCGATAACATGTTCTCTAACATGCTGCGTCTCTGCTTGTTATTTGTGTCCAGGGACAGCAGCAGGGCTGAGAAGCAGCAGCCAGAGGGCAGACATGGCATTGGTGTACTGTGATCGCCCAGCCACAACTGCTGGGACTTTCACAAAGAACGTCCTCCGTGCGGCACCAGTGCAATATTGCCAGCAGCTGCTGTCCACTAAGCATATGTTCAGGGCGGTGAGTGCATGCCCACTCTTTTGATTTACAGTGTGGCATGCCCAGCTTAGTTGTCTGGGCATCTCTTCCATATGGTATTTTTTTTCCTCCTCTTTGGGTACCATTTTCAGAGAGAAACACTGTTCTGAGATGTGTGTGATATTTGTGGATCTGGATAGTAAACACAATGACCTTGTTTTGGCAGTGTTGTATTCAGGAATTTAGATTGAATGTTTTGGATGTGGAAATAAAGCAGTTTCAGCTGTTGCTTTGCTGTTATTGACTTTATATTGTTGTCATCCCTTGGGTGCTTTGTTGTTGAAATGCTGAGCAAGGCCCTGACACAATACACTGAGGTGAATCAGCCCAACTAATGTACCAAAGTCCCTGTCACTTGCACAGCAATGTTTCCTCAGCTATGACCATGCCCTGATGTACTGACCAGTGCTTGTAGGTGTTGGGCAATGCTGCCTCTGCCAATGCAGCCACTGGAACTGCTGGGCTGGAGGATGCGCAATTGTGTGCACAGCACATGGGGAAGGCTCTAGAATTGGAGCCGAGCGATGTGCTGCTGCTGTCGACTGGCCTCATAGGTGCCAGGCTGGACGTCGACAGCATGGTGGCCGCTGTCCCCATCCTGGCCTCTAATTTGGGCCAAGACCCAGACGATGGGATAAAAGCAGCGGTGTCCATCACCACCACAGGTTGTCTCCAAATTTCTGATCAGCATTGTTTTGTCTGCCCCTGTTGTGTCCCTCCCAGTCCCGTTGTTCATCCCCTCATTCAAAGGCAACTGGAAGGTGTAGGCACCTGGGAACCATGGTCTTGGTTGCACAGATGGCGATCTGTGGCTCGTTGTTTGCCTTTGAGCCCCAAGGGTTCCCACACATTTCAATCGCCTGTTAGCAAATGGATTTGCACAATAGTGGGTTGTAGCTGACATATGATAGACTTGTCATCAGCTTGATTTGTGGCTGACTCGCACCCTGTTCAGTCCCCAGATCTTGTGTACAAGTCTGCAGCCTTGGCTCTGGATGTTGATGGACAGACTGTGCATGTTGGGGGACTCTGCAAAGGCTCGGGCATGATACACCCCAACATGGGCACCATGCTGTCAATAGTAACATGCGATGCACCCGTGAAGCCCTCTGTGTGGCAAGCGATGGTGTTGGATGCCGTCAGCAACAGCTTCAATATGGTGGGCAAAAGGATGGGTTTGACATGCAACATGTTCGATCAGAACCCTCGTGATTTCTGCTTTTACGGCACATGTTTTGGGCACTTCAAAAATTCACCTGTGTACCTTGTCATCGTGATTACATTGTTTCTCGTGATGCATTTGTTGAAACAAACTGGAATACTAATCACGTGTTAGAGCAACCCCTGTTCAAGAATGTGTGGTACCCTATGCTTGTTTTTGTTCTGCATGGCTACTTCTGGCTGTAAAGAAAGAAATGAGACTGTCTGAACTTGGGAACTGTTGCACGAAGAAAGCGTCTGAGCGAGGTATGTCTTGCGATGTGTGCGATTTAAAGATGAGGCATTGCCTGAAAGACAGGCTATTGCCGCACCTGGCGTCGGGGTATTCTTGGTTCTGAAGAGAATAGCCCAACAGTGATAAGTGTGACTGGCCACACGGGTTGCACTTTGAGACCACAAGCAAGCACTGCAGGGATGTCCATAGTCCCATGTGTGTGGGGGTGCCCTTCCTGTGGACACTTCATTAATTGTATGTCACCTTCACTCCGTTTTGCACTTCTCATTGATTGTCTGATTGGCTGTGGATGTTGGCATTTCCAGATCAGCGTTGATGGTGACACCAGCACCAATGACACTGTGCTTGCTCTCACAAGCGGAGCGGTAGGCATCCCCATCATTGAGGATGCAACCAGTGACAGTGGTAGACGCCTGTCAAGTGCACTAACTGCACTCTTGCAGGTACTGCAGCACTGCTGTACATTGTTCAAACTTGCTGCTGTCCTTCTGCTCACAAAGAAGTGTCAGACTCGTCAAGCACTTGCTTGGAATGGCATTTATGATGGCGGGTAAACTTCATCTGTGCCTGGTTGGCGATTTTGAAGTGGTTTCCTCAAGTTGGTCTCCTCGCATGCCTGGTAGGAATGGCTGCATGTTGTGTTTGTACTGCTCTGCTTGCAGACAAATGGGCAAGTGCAGGAGAGAGTGCACTTGCGCATGGTACCAAAAAGGCTGCAGCATCCAATGGTGGCACCATGCCACCAGTTGTCATTATCAAGATGTGGGTATGTTGCCTGGCAACATAATTTGGGGCAGCATGCGATTGGTAGTGCTGTTGGTGCGTGAACCCCCACAGGATAGGCCATCCCTAACCTTTGCACCCGTGACCCAACAGCCATCCCATGTTCCAAATCAGACGTCCTTCCTGGTTGAGAGCGGTAGGCACAAGGCTCATTGCCCTTGACTCGCAAAACAGAACATTGGGTTGCCCAGGGATGTACCCCCGGTCAATATACCCAGCGCATTTCGCCCACCGCAAAGCACTACCATAGTATATCCTACACTTCCACAGAACAACATAACGCTTGGCCTTCTTTGCAGTGAGAACGATAAAATAAGTAGCATTCTTCTAATAAACTTTTGTGGAGCAACATAAAAAAAAGTGGTGATAATGAAAGCGTAACATAAAATTTGATGCGGAAGGGTTGAATACACTACGGTGTTCGATGATAATGGGAGAAATCATGTGGCGTGTCTGCCTGCTGCAGGGCCTGGCAAAGTCCATTGCTTGGGACGGAGAGGGAGCCACATGCCTGGTGGAGGTCCAGGTCACTGGGGCGAAGGACAGGTGCGACGCCCAAACAGTGGCCAAATCCGTCGCATCCTCCACCATCACCAAGGCGGCCTTGTTCGGCCACGACCCCAACTGGGGCCGCATAGCATGCTCAGCGGGCTACTCTGGCGTCAGTTTTGACCCCAGCAGGCTGGACATCCACCTAGGGATCCATGCCTTAATGAAGAACGGCCAGCCTCTCGAATTCGACAAAGATGCGGCGAGCGCCTACATGAAGGTAATGCATGGCGGCTGTCACTGCAGCTTGATGTTTTCCTCTCAGATGTGATTGTACCCATGGTGGCGAAGCACCGCTGCTGCTGCCACCACACTGCTGATGTCGCTGATAGGACTTACCTGGGTGTGGTGATGAAGTGCACAGTTGACAAGACTGGCCTGAAAAGGCATCTTATATACCAGATATGTGATTGAGCGATGGGCCCCATCAGGTCGCTCACGTGCCATCAAGCTGTTAGCTGTACAGAATGACAGGGAATGATGGGATACAAAATACTGCAGTGTTCATAGATATTGTAGTGACAAGACAATTGTAATAGCAGTAGCAGGAATAACAAGGTATGTCATTCCTCTGCAGGCATAGACTGGTATCCTGTTGGGAGGAGTCCCACCTCAAACGGCAGCACAGAATTGCTGGATGCATTGCTGTAATAGGAAGGAAGCTGCTGTGCCAGTCGATGAAAGTGACTTGAAATTACAAAACTGGAACGGAAGCGTTTCTTTTCGTCGGTGATTTACCTAAGAGCGAAGGGCAGCTGTAAACAGCAACATATAGCACCTTGGGCAGCCAACCTGACCATTAGCATAAGATGCAAAAGAGGGCGATTGGAAAAGTCATCGAACGTAAGCAAGACAGCGCAAGGCCATGGAACACGACCTCAAGAATCCTCTTTCCGTGAACATGGCTGCTGAATGCGATGAAAGGTCTCCTCTCACACCCGAGCAGAGGCTTGTTCACTGGGACACGCCCGCGGCGACAGGCCAAAGTTTTTTTCAGTCTCTGATGAATTTCGTTGTCCAGGCAAGTCTGATATTGACTGGAGTTTTCAGAGGTCCTTTGAACAAGAAATTGTCCATGTTGTGCAGGACATTTGTGAGAAGAGGGGAACGGTCATCATCTCCGTATCCATCGGAGATGGTTCTGGCTGTGCAACTGCGTGGGGCTGCGATCTGAGTTACGAATACGTTAGAATCAATGCGGAGTACACCACATGATGCCACCGCTCATTGCTCATCGTCTATCTGAAGCTGCAGGGGCAGTGTCCGATTGCTTCTGGAATATGTAAACAGAACAATCCACTATTTGTTGCCATGGCTGCAGTGCACTGCACAACTCGAACTATGGATATTCTGTTGTGCTCTCCACAAGCCACAGCAGTAACAGTAACAGGTTGCTGTAGAATTGGCGCTCCGTGGCTAGAATACCTGCACTGGTTCTGGTGCCCCTGAGAATCCCCCACAAGCCACAGCAACTACAGGAACAATGTTGCTGCAGAGTTGCCGCCCCGAGGTTAAAATGCCTGCACTGCTTCTGGTGCTCCTGAGAATCCATGTAACTTGAATACAGTTCTGACATTCTGTGCATGAGTGCCCACACCGCCTAAATACACACAGGACAAAGCGCAAATCCGATGGAATGGGTGGAGCGACCAAACAAACCTGTCAGCACCAATTACCGGGTCTCATCATTCAAATTTAGGAGCCTCTGAGATTTTGCCGACAATCTTGGATGCAGGGCAAGCCAAAAACTTGTCACGGACACCAAGTATCAAACGGAAACAACTATGAGCTGCCAGAAAATTCACAATGCATCATTACATGCCTGTCCGTCAAATGGCCAACAGCAGCCGGGAATTACATCATCGTATGTGTAATTGCACCTGTTTTGCCCCAACTGTTTAAGGCGACCATATAATATGGTAGCTATGCGTGAATAAAGCATGTTGCATGTAAAATTGATAGCTCATAATGAAGGTTTTCCTTCTTGGGCGAGTGCCGGAACCGCAGTGCCTAGTTCGCTCCCTGCTGCCGGCGCCGATGAGGCCGGCCGTGCCAAGGTCGCGGCAAATCCACCTGGAATGCCGCCAAATGTGGCTTTTTCCGCAATCCCTTGCCGGCTGGCTGTGACGGCCTGTTGATGCGTGGCTGGCATGGAGCCGGGTTCCACAGCCCGTGGTGCGTGTTTGTGATGGAATGCAGCCAGGCGGTGGGCCCACGCCAATAATTATTGGCGAACTAATGGTGTCGATGCCCCCCACCCACCCACGCCTGGGGCGGTGGGACCCGCGCCAATAATTGATGGTGAATTAATGGTGTCAATGTCACCCGCGGTAATAATTAATGGCGAGTGAATTGTGTCAATGGCCCCCCCACGCCTGGTGCCCGCTGCCTGGCTGCGCTGTAGCGAATTGGCCCGCCGACGCGCCCTTGTCTTGACCGCCCTCCCAAACCGGTGCACCAAGGTGCCTTGACCGGCGCTGGGCCACGCGCTAGACGCGTGGCGGGCGCGTGCCAGGTGCGCCCTCTTGGCCCGCGACGCGTACTTTAGGGGGGCATACCGTTATGCGAGGCGCTGACCCGGGCGCTGAGCCGGATACAGTAGGGGTCCCTATATAGCGCCCCCCTAATAGCGCCCCCGGCCCCCAATAGCGCCCCCTTTTCTGGCTTGTCACCATTTCTGTAGTACTTTATGCAGCTTTGCTGCACAGTGGGACCTCAAACTACTATTGCGGACAACCAAACACACCCAAGAGACGTGTCTGGTGGACTGATGGCGCAGTGGCCATCTGTTTCAACGAACTTGGCATATCGCGGATGGGCGGATGGCACGTCCGGTGCGTCCACTGTGGACCCGGGCCCAGGGCCTCCCCAGGAGGCCAAGGGAGGTGTGTGTTCCATGGCGGATCTCCATCTATTCACAGCGAAGTGGGCACTGCCCACCTGACTCCTTGCAGCCAGCAGAATGGAGGGATAGGGAGGGGTGTCCAATGCCGCGGCTTCCATTCTTTCTCTCTCATCATCATCATACAAATCTATCTCCATATCCCTGCTTGTATCCTCATCGTTGCTTGGAGTTCCGTCTTCCATGAAATCCGGGCCGCAGGGGTATCCATCATTGCAGTCGCCCTCATCATCATCAAAAAAGCTTTTGATCAATTGCTTTGGCATCACAACCGATTTGTGCACCGGGCGCTTTGATGCTCGCACTGGCCGACAGGCTGGGCAGTAGCGCCTCACACAGCAGCTTCCCCATTGCAAATCCTTACCACACGAGCAGGATCCGCACCATGCATGCATAAGGATATTGCAGCCAAGGCATCTATAAACTGCAAAGGACGGTGGTCCATTTTGGCCGTCGTCCCCGGAGATAGCACAATAAATTCACCCTCAAACATGCAGTTGAGCCATGTCAACAGCCTCAGCACCTCAGCAGTTGAGAGTGCACTCAACGAACAAGCTTTGCCCCTCACGCGAACGGGCTCTTCACAAAGAACTGCTTGGCACGCCGACAAGACCAACAAAATAGCGGCAACAGCAAGGGGAAGCTTCAAAAGGGTAGCAACACCACCACTGCCAGCCAACCATGCAAGTATGTTTGTGGAAACTCTTGCAGGTTCCGCTCAGAGTACCCCAACTGGTCGCAACTGCTTCTTAACGGTCGACGAAGTCAAAACAGAGGTCAGGTCCCAGGGTCAGGGCTGCCTTGTCCACAACACGTTGGTGTATGACACGGGGAATGCTTCTCTCCGCCTCGACAAGGCTATACAATGACGAGGCTTGATGTGTTCTGGTCGGCAACTAGACCATGCTGGAGGTGCTGGTCTCGAACGGCAAGGAAGCGCCTTGAAAACAAGGCCCAGACTGGCTACGACCTTCGAAAAGGTCGTGCGCTATTGTGCTCAGGCCGTGGCGAGCCTTGCGCGCACGGTCAGGAGGGCTAGGCAGCCAGACTGAGCGCCTAGACCGCCACGCGAGAGACACACACACCCCTCGCAACCGTTCTTATAGGTGCCAGGCCGAGTGCAACAATACAGAGTTCCCCTTCGCGCTGTCCGCACCCCTTTGGCAAAAATACCACCATTCCAAAGAGATGCTTTTTTCATACCCGGAATTTTTCTGCCACGCCTGCTGCTTCACCACAACGCAACCCAGGACGCCCCACTGCCCACAATCAGCCACTGCATGTGCCCCAAGGGCCACATTCTCACCAAGCACCCACACTTCCCGTGGTCGGCAACCACATTATGCCCCACGGGACATATTCCCATCAAACAAGCACGTGGTGTCTCAACGCGCCCCTCCTGGCTCCATCTCGCCACGATCCACGGCAAGTCGCCAGGCGGGCAGCTTCTAAACAAACACACGTGTCCAGTAGCAACCCAGGTGATCCTCAATATTCCAAGGCATGTTTGGGGCATGTTTGACTCATGTGTCTCCGTGTGATGCACTGCCACGTATTGGCGTTGTGTTCGGCATCTTTATAGTATCTCAGTGAACTCTTAGGACATATGATGCAGTTGCCATCATCTATCTTTGTCATCAAAGTCATCTCCATGCATTCTGAGTGCCTTGAGCTTGCAATTTGATGATGGTCAGTGTGGCGAAGGTGCTGAGGCTGTTGACATCTCTCTGCATCGTATCTAGACCTCATGGGTCGCCAACTGAGTGATATTATTAATGCACTAACTTTTTGATGAGCCCTATTAATTTGCGACCCGAACAGAACGCCACTGACCCCAGCACTGATTTGGCAGACTGGGCACACCAGTCGTGCAGCCATCGCACGCCCACGATGATCACAACAGTGCTGCCACGCTGCTGCGCCCCCACGTCGCCGCACCGCCACGCGGCCACCCCGCTACGTTGCCACACTGCCACGCTGCTGCGTTGGCACACTGCCACTTGACGCTGTCGCTGGGCCCCGCCACAGTGCCAGCCGGTCATTACCCAAAACCATATCGACTAAAACTACAATCAAATGCGTTAAACAAAGTTAACACAATAGCGCCCCCGGCCCCCAATAGCGCCCCCCTCGTGGCCATGTCACGGGGGGGGCGCTATATAGGGACCCCTACTGTAGTTAGCCACAGCGTTAGGGGGTATAAATCCCGCTACCGCCCGGCCCCTCACCACAATCCGCATTCGCTGACTTTCGGCGTTGGAGGTTTGGCTCGAAAGTTGTGCGTGGGCCAAAAAGTGCCGCATCGGCACCTGCGGGCTGGCGTTCCTCGAGCGAGCTCTGCGAAAACGGCCAAATAGTCAGAACGTGTACGAGCGCGTGGTGACACAAGGGGCCAAGCACGGCGGCCGCGGACCAAGCCAGCCACTCACCGCCGCCGGCGCAAGGCCGCCTCCCCTCAGGGCGGGGCCCCCCTTCGAGCATCGCTGTCGCCCCGCCGCTCCTCTCGCTGCTGACTTTCGGCGCTGGAGATTTGGCTTGAAAGTTCTCTAACTCTCCAGCGCCGAAAGTCAGCAGCGAGAGGAGCGGCGGGGCGACAGCGATGCTCGAAGGGGGGCCCCGCCCTGAGGGGAGGCGGCCTTGCGCCGGCGGCGTGGCCGCCGTGCGCTGCACGCGCTCGTGTTGGCCTCGCCGGCACCCCGTTCGAAGGTCTCACCGTCACGTGACCCGTCTCCGTCTGACTGGTCCGGGACCTCGTCGCTCCAAGCCCAAGACCGACACTGGTGCCCGTTGGTCGTCGGTGGCGCTCAGAGTTTGATTCATTGGCTGATTTGTTGAGCGCCTCGCCAAAACACGCACGGGCCGCTTTGTGGGTAAATCCCTCCCTTTTCTGTAAAAAATCATGATGATGATAAAAAATCCCTCCCTGTGTCACCTGCAGTAAATGTTGCTGCTCATTATACCGGCTGGGAAATGGTTGGCTGCCGGCCGGGACGAAATGGGTCATCTTCATTTTTTCCTGACTGAAGCATTCACTCGGATTCTGGCATGGGGCCCAGCGGCGCCATTCGGGTGCATTGGTCGCTGGCCATTTGAGTCCCTCCAGCGAATTCACCACCATCATCATGTTTTACAGAACAAGGCAATGAGGTAGCCGCCAGCTTCACATACTGGCCGAGCAAAGCGGAGTCTGTGGTCAGTCCATTGCAATCTAATGTTAATCACAGTCTATGGGTCTATTTAGTGTGCCTAGAAGCGATTGTCGATGATTGCCAGCAAATTCATCCGCGGCCTCGGTTGCCATCCAGGCTGATCG